TGCCCACTAGCAAGAAAAATTGTCTCGTGCAATTGCACATATTGGGTGGTCTTAAATTTCTCAATAGTATAATTGGGGTACTAACTTTTAAGTTCGGGACGTGTGACAGCAGACCCACTGGATTTAGTGAATTTCTTTTGGATATTGAACTGTGGGAGTGAACCTTCAATATTTGAATTGAACGAGCTCGTGAAATTGGTAAAGCTACACGCCATTACCAGTTTGTTAATCGATTTCAAAAATGAGGAGGTTCTCAATTCGAGTGTATTTTTTGTATGTATGTTACACTATATCTTCGCATATTGAGAACCAATTTTAATGATTCTTTTTTTATTAAATAGTTTACACTTTCGGGGGGGACCCATATACATTTTTGAGAAAAAATTAAATAAATAACTTCTTTTTTAGCAATTTGATGTCGGTTTATATTTTTTGTTAAAAATGATAATCATATAATTTAGGTTGCTAAAGTCTCGTCTCGTTAGTAATGCAACGCCTGCGGAATCTGTATCATCTGACGATTTTGGTTCCCAAACCCATAGCAGAAGATATATTTTATGACCGTAAGGAAAGTAAAACCTGTCCGTTGTCATCCAGTGGTGGCGTTAAAGATTTTACTACCCCATATTCTCGCATGGGCATATTATGAAGCGAAAATAAAACAGCAGATCTGTTCAGCAGGAAGACTGCTATTTATCTCCTGTTTTATTTTCGCTCTGTTAATAGCTCAACAAAAAACTAGAAGCCAACCCGCATGAAGGGTGACAACTATGGCAAATAATATATACATATTATGACGCAATAAATTAATTAGAAAATATTTAATTAAACGCAAAAAATGCAAATGTGGGGGAGCCGCCAGATCAGCTATGGACTTGTAATGGGTTGAACGAATAAATGATGAAATAAATAATAAATAAACAAAGCCTTTAAATTCGCGCTTGTACTAACACCGTTGCGTCCTTGACGGAGACGCATATATGTATACTTATAACCTCAAACGGACGTGTAGAAATATGGGATCATTTCACGATACTTGTTCAAGTTGATTAATTGATTGTTAAAGGAAATTATTAATGGTTATAACCTCGTATTTTGTCATCGTTTAATTTTGAAGGTTTATAAGTTTTTTTTTTTTTTTGGTTAAAGATAAATAGTATTTTAACACGCTAAACCCACGTGTTATTCTTTTCGTATGGGAATTGAAAGAAGTTTTTAAGCTGCTGGATCGGAAAAGATACGGTATCAGCATCATTGATGAATACATAACCTGCGATTTGTCGTCGTTACAATCAATAATACAGAACCGCTGGAGGATCTTAGCACTATATTCGATGAATTTCCAAGTGTCTCCCAAAGGATAGGTATTAAAATTAACATGGACGAGACAAAGGTTAAGTGTAACGTCCACGTCACACCTAAGCTGGTTTAATTATATATGGTTGGGATTTTAATTTGTTGACGATTAGGTTTTCCTGTGACACGTCTACTCAACTTCGATTGGGAGGGCAATCGTGTGATACAACTCGGCTGACCAGCATCCAGGATATGACAACACATCTACTAGTCACGTGTTCCTAAAAACCTGAAGATATGAGTGTGGTTCTTTTCTATTGGTTACATTAGGAAGCACAAGGACGCTCAACGGCTATGGAGAGGGCTATGCTCGGAGTTACTCTACGTGATAGAATTCGTAATGCAGATATCCTCAGTGGAATTAAAGCAACCGAAATATCTTAACGGATCAGTAGACTAAAGGGAAAATGAGCCGTTCATAACTGAACTAACCGAAAACCGATGGGGAAGAAAGTTTCTTGAGTGGAAGCCTCGTACATATAAGTGAAGTGAGGTGCGATCCCCTACTAGATGAAGTATGATAATGTCCTCCAGACTGAATTTCGGTGACGGTGGCCAGTCTCAAACAGATACTAGCTACCTAGATAGAATAGAATAGAGTATTAAAGTTGGTAAAAAATGCGATCGCAGAGTCTACATAACCTGAAGATGCCTCGTGTAGAGGCGAAACACGTGTCGTATTATCGTAAGTGGTGTGTCTTTCCTAGTGCAGTGGTGTTGGAAGTAGTGGTGCTGGGATTAGTGGTAACGGGGATAGTGCATACAATTGAGGGAGGACGGGAAGTGCTCTTCAAACTAGGTAAGACACATTTTATTTTATCGAGCGGATGTACGCAAAGTAATTTTTACCAACTTTAATTTAATGGATTTCCGCATAGTAATGCTTGATTCTATTAAGAATAGAGTCTAATAAATTTTATTCGATATAGATTATTACATAATACTTACTGAAAGCCAATTTTTTATTTACCACTGGTACGAAAAATACCTCTGTCCTGGGAATAACAAGCAAGAATACCGGCGGGATTATATATTTTTTAAACAATAATAATAAAGTTACAATAATTTTGCACACATTTTCAACCTTATTTCCAGGGATTATTTTCATTCATAGTGATTTAGAAGTTTTTTCATAGTGCACTCCTTTATCCAATATTCTCATAGTCCAATAAAACGACAATCCGGCACGATCGGAGAGTGATCAGGATCAACCTTTACACGTATTTCCCTGGGTACGGGGTTAATATGCCGCCAACTCTCAGGGTTGCTATTGACAATGTCTTTACAGAAATACCCAATATCTGAATTTTACCCGACGCGGAACCAGACATGATCAGAAGTCGCACTTATGGCTACGACGCAGTCATTACCAGATAGAATGATGACCTGCTAACACTTACAGGAAGTCTATGAACCGTTTTTGTGACATACTGTGGGTAGATCTATTGTCAGCAGTGATCATGTGAATGATGATGATTAATAAAGAATAAAAAAAAAACTAATATTAGGTCCTTACATATGAAATTAGCGTTTTGTCGTACTGACCACTTTGATCTGAAATATCTCCTCTTTGGTTAAGAATTCCAAATTCAAATTTATAAATTCATTTAGCTGGTACATTTGAGTTTTGAAAAGTCATTCATTTGTTTTTTGTCATTATTTTTTTCTTTGGCGTCACTTATTACCGCATAATGGAAACATTAAATATCGGTATATTTACGACTACGAGTTCTACCGTGGCACATGTGCTGCAGACACAGCTCGAAGGATTAATGATGTATACAGCGCTGGTGTCGCAAAAGAAAGCACGGTACGTTTTTGGTTTCAAAGTTTTCGTTCTGGAAATTTCGACCTTCAGAACCAACTCCGTGGACGGTCGGAGACCAAAGTGGAAAATGAAGAATTAAAGACTATTGTGGAAGCGGATCCATCACAAAACACTTCAGAGATAGCTGCAGGCTTCAGGGTAAGTGACAAAACTGTATTAATCCACTTGAAGCAAATCCGGAAAGTAAAAAAACTTGAAGGATTGGTACCTCATGAATTGAGTGAATCGAACTTGCAAACACGCGTCGACTGCTGTCTTACTTTGCTCAACCGACACAATAATGAAGGGATTTTAAATCGAATCATTACTTGTGATGAAAAATGTATACTCTACGATAATCGGAAGCGCTTGTCGCAATGGCTGAACCCTGGAGACCCAGCCAAATCCTGCTCTAAGCGAAAATTGACTCAGAAGAAGTTACTTGTGAACTAGCTGCTAAACAACCGAGATTGGTCAATCGCTCTAGGCCACTGCTGCTTCACGACAACGCAAGACCACACACTGCACAACAAACAACCACTAAGTTAGATGAGCTACAATTGGAATGTCTGCGACATCCACCGTACTCCCCGGACCTTGCTCCGACTGATTACCATTTTTTTCCGGAATTTGGACAACTTCTTACAAGGAAAAAAATGAACTCCGATGCGGTAGTCCAAACCGCCATCAAAGAGTTTATTGATTCTCGCCCCCATGGTTTTTTAGTAAAGGGATCAATGAACTACCTATGAGATGGCAAAAGTGCATAGATCACAACGGTGCATACTTTGATTAATTAAATATATTCTACAAACATAATTGGCTTTATATTCCTCCCATACAAAACGCCAATTTCATATGTAAGGATCTAATAGTATCATAATTATTAAAACTTACATTTCATATTTAGTCATTCAGTTATATTATTTGCATATCGTTTAATATTAAATCAATCTATAGTAGAGCCTAAAAGAATGGTAATATTTTTCATTAGTATGTACGTTGGAATGTACGACCGTTTCTATATCCAACCATAACACTTAGTTCATTGGAATTTAGCAAATTATAAATGATACCTCAACTGATTTATCATAATTGCGCGAGTAACCTAAAACATAAAATTATAATATGAGGTCAGCATAAAATAAATGTTGCGCACATGAAATGTCAAAACCTTGTGACCTAAAAAATAATAAACAAATTATTGGTGTACGATATGACATAAAAAGCATCAATTATCATATTACTAATATATATAATTTATTGATACATGAATATATTTTATATTAGTTAGGTCAACGTAGTCCATTTCTCAATTTTTAACAACAATTTATTTGTTGTTCCGTTTCATTGCTTCTCAGACAGAAAATTTATTCTAAATCTTAATAAAGAACGCATATTTTATATATTCTCAAAAGTTTTTCTTTGTCTTATTGACATAATGTATCTTTAACGCAGCTTATATGTTGTTAGTATTTATATAGGAAAATTCCTACAATGTAAAGCCTGTAAGGTCTTAAAGAACAGTAAATATTATTGTTATTGCATTAGAAAATTATCTCCAATTAAATAGAAATGCCACGGTATAATCTAGTCTCTAGCATTACGTAACTCCCACGTACCCAAAGAATTGATTTTTGTTCACAACTAAACGTTTAAATACGCATGCGTCAAAAACTTCACCCATACACGCTCAAAATCCATGTTCACACATGCGTAGTAAAGATAAAAGTCGACAAAGAAATTTGAGTCTTACCTTCTAAATCACTAAACTTATATTTGAGCTAAATATTACTATTGTATTTTTAGACCATTCGTACCTGTTAAGGAAAATACTGACGCGCCCTCTTCTATAAACGTCGGGAAACTTATTCGCGGAAGGTTTTCTCTTCTCCATGTACTAACCGGAATATTTTTACAATTTAGGTTACCGGCGTTTCCTTCATTAATTTTGTATCTTTTATTGAAAATAGTGAACACTGAAGAACATTAAATGATAAAAAGGCAGTCTCTTGCCTGAAAAAGACAAGACTAAAAATAGATCACTGTCCGACATACTTGTTGGGAAATCGAATGAGAGCTTTCCATTCATAAAATACATTCATTTGGTGTTCAGCTGTGGTGGTACATACGTCGGGAGAGACTATATTATAAAGTTTTCAGTGAATGAACTGCTCCTTGAAGAATTAGAGACATTTGTGAACATTGATCGATAACAGCTTCGCTTGAATTTTCGACAACACACAGCGCAACAAGACTATCGGAAAAAATGTAAGTAATTTTTATCTATGTCGCTTAATGCTTTGCAATCGTGTAAATAAATGATATTATATAAATTCCAAGACAACATACTGGTACATAAGTGCTGTGTCGGTACATATGTATGGATAAAGCCAGTAATATTCAGCAGTTTCGGTATGCCTACATCCTTTTCCACGCAGTCTAATTGTACCAAACTCTTACCTGTTTCTGTCGCCATACAACAGTGCACCTACTGCTGTTTTACGGTTTAAAGAGTACGAAAACGAGGCTTTAAGGCTAAACATTTTTTTCCATAGGTTTTTAAGCATATGTGCAGCAACAGTTTTAATGTGTTTGCAAATGTTTATGGACTGTGCTCCTCTCTAATATTATACACAAAACAAGGAACCAAGAGTTTCTTGCCGGTTCTTCTCTGTAGAGGTCTCATTTTTAAATTAATGTTAGCTTTTATATTATTAAGCCTAAACTGTATCTACAATTGTTGGCTTTGTCTTTGAATCAATATATATGTGTATATATATATATATATATATACATATATATATATATATATATATATATATATATATATATATATATATATAAACTAGCTCGCCAGGCAGACGTTGTTCTGCCCTTTCCAAAAAACCTTCCTATAAAAATCCTTAAATTCGCAATAAAAAATTTTGAGGGTCATTTATCGGGATAAAAACTATCCTATCTCTCAAATTGGACTACAATACACATAGTGTGCAAAATTTCATTGAAATCAGTTCAGTAGTTTAGGAGTCCAGCACAAAAGGTTTCATTAGAAAAGCAGTGCGAAGATGGTTTTAGCTATATAAAAATTAAAATTTCCTTTCAAAATATATTTCCGCACACGCTGGGTATCCGCTAGTCCTAATAATAAAAATTAGTTGTTTAATCTAAATAGAGAGAAAATATAGTTTATGTACGGTTTTTACTTTAAAATAGAAAGCTGTTTTCAAAATCTTCTTCGACCTCGATGACGTATGTCCACCTGTTTCGTGTGGTGAGCGACATTAAACGGAGAAACTTTTTACTTTTGTGGAAATGCATTTTTTTTACTATTAACTTTTTATAAACAAACATAAATGTCCGTACATTAGTACATAGGGGTCAGCGCCACAGCGTCCACTGAATATCAGCTGTGTGCTCGTTTGAAAAAAGTCCAAGCCTTTATTAGATTGAAAAGATTAGTATTAAAAAGAATCTCAGAAATGTTTTATATTTAAATCTTATTCATAGTTATATGACAATCTTCAGGTTAGCTGAAGTCTTAGTAAGGCGCAAGTTACTATTGATTTTACGAAAGGGTCACCGTACTGACTGCATATACAATTCAACACGTGAATATAGCTTATAAAATATTGTATCATAATGAAATATAGTTTACTTTTTCTTATATATTATATCATCATCATCATCATCATCACCACCACCATTACAGCCCATCACTAGTCTGCTGAACATTGGGAATGCTACAAAGCACTGTACTAAGCCACCTACATCCATCGACTTCCTGCATCTTTTACCAAGCCGTCACTCCATCTAGTGGGGGGCCGTCCTATACTCCGCTTATTGGTACGAAGCTGAACTTAAGAGCCTTCGCCATCAGGTGTCGGTGGCATATAACATAAAATGATAATAATAATAAGAATAGTATGAAAAGAATTACAATGGGCAAACTTGTAAGATTTATATAGCCATTTATAAGATTTTGTAGCAGATAAAATTTCTATACAAATTATGAAATATATTCAAGAGAACTGTGATAATAAGACGTTTTAAGTATTCTTTAATGGACGTCTCATTACGAACTTCACTAAATGTTCGGAAGCGAGGGACTGAAGCTTACGGTATCTGTGACCTTTGATATCCGTCCTTTAAAACACAATTAACGTTTCATTTTAAAACTGACACCCGTTTATTTTTTAAATCACTTATTATTATTATAGTAGTAGCACGAATGGGTCAGTTCGACCGGGGAGGATCACGCTCTCACAGAATACCAGCGAAAAATAGCAGCTTAGAGCTGCTAGATAGGATAGAGTGACAAACGAGCACACAGTTCGTCGTACGTTTGCGAATCAAAATGCAGATGCGTTGTTAAGATTAAGATCAAATGCCTCTTTTCCAGTAAAAAGGGTCTTTGGTTCTCTACACTCACCATACGAAACACAGCAGTGTTAAGCTGCTATTTTATGCTGGTATTCTGTGAGAGTGTGGTCCTACTCCGGTCAAACTGACCCATTCGTGCTAAACTATACTACTAATATAGCTGCAGCATGGCTCTACCACGTATATAAGCATGGCTCTACCATGTATATAATACGTGGTAGAGCCATGCTGCATGTATATTTACTGGAAACGAGGCATTCCATCTTAGTAATCACGGGTGACAACGCATCTGCATTTTGATTCATATTTGAGGATAGATGTAGATGTCTATGAGCCACAGCAACAACTTACCAGCAGGTGGACTGTGTGCTCGTTTGTTACCCATATCTTATTAAAAAAAGTTACTACTCTAAGTGTAGAGAAGATACACGTAGTGTTCTAAAAGGACAGATTATGAAGGTGTGGAACTAAGAAGAATTGGATACAAAGAATACACTTAAACGTTATAATTATATACTTCTTTGCCATTTTTTTACAGACTTCAACAATATATGTTTAGTATATTTATATGTAGGTACCTACGTATTAATTGTTACACAAAATTTTATAAATTTATTAATCGGTAAAATAAAACAGAAGGTAGTTCTTTATAGACTGGGTAATCGCTTTAATTTTCTTAGATTTAGAAATCTGCAAGTGGTAGAGCCATGCTGAAGCTATATTATGGTTGTAGCACGAAAGGCTTGTCTCGATCGAAGAAGGACCACGCTCTCACAGTATGTGAGCGTAAAATAGCAGCTTAAAGCTGGTGTTTCTCTAAACACACCAGCTTCGAGAAACATACCAGTTTTAAGGACCGGAAACTCTTTTTACTGGATATAAGTCCTCAGGGGTGACGACGCATCTGCTTTAGATTCGTAATCGTGGGTAGATGTAGATGTCTATGAGGACAGTATCCAGTTACTATTACGTGGGCTGTGTGCTCGCTTCTCACCTTTATTCTATAAAAAACAAGTCATTCTCTAGGTTCAACACCACTACTAATAATAACATAAGGAATTAATTTTATGTCAACGTGAAACTTATCCAACTTAAAGGTTATTATTAAAGGTTTTAGTAAGGCTTAATTAAAATAAATTATATAACTTATTATTTACATATTTATTCATATTTATTTATCAATAGTACATTTCTATCTACTTGAAACCTCAAACTTTGGTTAAACTCTTACACATCGATTTCACACCAATTTCTTACAAATTAATAACGAGTTAAGAATAGAAAAAAAATTGAATATAACAAATAATATTATAATATCGATCGCAATTTAGTTAGTAAAACATATGACATTATTATCAATATTAATACAATATAACTTATTATTACTACGAGTACACATTGAATGGAATTAAAATTACTCGTCGAATTAACGTTAACTATGACGTCAAACACTTCATTCCTCCAGGGACCACGAGTGATGTAAAGTGTTTGTCCTTTGTATATTGTAATGCTTTTTATATATGACTACATCTAAACATATACTTACAATATAACTGTTTACATTCAAAATTAGTACAATCATTAATGCTAAATGATCTCAGATTAGTTACCCTACAGATCTCAGATCAGAACAGGCATGATCCAACCGTTATGTGTGTGTCTTCTTAACGCCCGACTATAGACTGTTGAGCACTTTTATCAAGCGTGCATAAAACCCATCGCAAACTAACTGTTTCATGTCCGCCTCATCGATACCTATTTTCTGGGACACACCCAGGTATCGGTATGTTACAGCCTCGGACTCCTTGTGTTGATGGACATGGATAAGTCTATGCCCTCAGAGTTAGCAACCCTACCCCTTTCGACATGGAGGACCGCACACTTATCCGTCACCAGCTCCATTTTCTACCGACTTCAAAAAGGAGACGGTACTCAATTCGACTGCATGTTTTTTTTATGTGTGTTACCTCATAACTTTTTACTGGGTGAACCGATTGCGATGATTCTTTTTTATTTGAAAGCTGGTGCTTCACATGTGGACCACATGTGAAGCACCATATAAATTTGATCAAAGTCTGACCAATAGTTTTTGAGTTATACTTAATAATTTATATTGAAGTCGGTTGTATAAAATTTTTAATTTTAAATTATACAATCGAAACTCTAAATCAACTTTGTCGTAACGTTTCTCTCCCGCATCGCGTTGAAACTTTCAACAAATCTAATCTCGTCAAATCCTGAATACTCTTAGAACACCTTAATTTAAATTCCATTGCCAGGAACTAAATGAAATTTGGTATTACGATAGACTCTAACTTAATACCAAATTTCTGGATGGATGGAGATTACTAAAGCCTATTGGGAATTAGAAAGTAAAGTCTTATATTTAATCATTGATTATCACTTACATAAAATAAGTATTTATTATCTCTAAACCTGTCTTTTTCTATTTTTTCTTAATGATAACACCTAAGAGTTATCATCAGCAAACAATTTTAGTGTACGTTAAAGGATGACCATTATATGTATATGCAAATGAGTAATGGTTTCAATGTTGACCCTTAAGACTTTTGTTTATTAGGGTAAAACGAGTAATAACGATCTTAACTGGAGACTCAGTTTCATTAATAACTACTTAGTATAAGCGCTCAAACAATTATGATTTTATCAGGTAGGCTGAGTTTATGATACCATACAGAGGCTGCACTAAAAGTATCGGAAATGGAATATTTCCACTGTTCCTGTCATATTAAAATATTTTTAATTGAAAAGTCCTTGGTTTTAAAAATCGAATACCATTTATTTATTTAAAAAAAGATTCTCGGTCTTGTCACAAGGTTTTGTCAAACTTGTTTAGTCGTTGAGAAAATGGAATTGACTCGAGAAAA